CACATCCTGGGATTCTGGGATTCTGTGATCTAGAAAACTTAAATACTTTGAGGACTTTGAAGCAGCTCTTTCCAAGTGGAACATCTGCAAGAGGTGCATCGATGCCTGCCACTGGAAGATGACTTTTTGTCAGGAAAATCCTCAAAATATTAGGTTTCTCTGGCTAAATCTACATCCTCATCCCCAGCAGACATTGGCATTTGCCTCTTATGCCGTTGCCAGCCGTCAAGTGAGGGATGTGCTGTGGTGCCAGCAGGTTCCTCTGCTGCTTTTCGTTCCTTCAAAAGCCAATGCCTTTTGATTAGAGACTTCTGTGGCGCTCAGGAGAGCGTGTGGTAGCGCACCCAAAACACAGAAAAGCTTTGAAAGTGCCTATCCTTACCAAAGCTGAGCAACGCCGCAGCATCTCTTTAAATGCACTAAAATGCTGTGGTTTGCTGCAGGAGGGAAGGGGTTGGCAGCTCCCTGCGCTGGTAGTGATGATGATTTTGGAGGTGATAACTAAAGAGTCTCTGAAAGGTCACAGCTTTTCAATGTAGAGCTGTTATTAAATTAATCCATCTCCTCTTTTCTTCCAGGAGCTGGACTGAGACCTGCTGAGGGATAAACCAGGCTGTAAATCCTCCAGCGAGCTGTAAGGATCCGATGGCGCTTGGCTTCCCAAAGGACGTAGGAGGGGAAGGTGTTGGAGCTACAAACGTGGGCATTTGCTGTGCTAAATGCAGCCAATAAAGTGAGTTTTGGTCTGCAAAACATTTGCTGCCATCGAGATTTTCAGCTGCTGCTGAGGAAGATGGGGTCTGCCCGTACCAAAAAGGGAGTGACGAGAAGGGTGAAGCTTTGCTGACCACTGGAGAGCCCGGCCGGTGACTGGATGCGCTTCACTGGTGGGGAAAACGCTGTCAAAACTCGTGGGCAGGGAGGGTTTGGGGCAGTGGAGGGGCCATGGGGCTGCTCTGGGCTCTGCCCCACGGCGGGGCCGCTCGGCTGCCCTGGCACTGAGACGCTGGGGACGTGGGGCCACAGAGAAGGAAAACAAGAAAGTGGCTGGAAAATGTAGCAGCATCTTTTAGCCTGAAGAAAAATACCCGCTCCGTTTTGCTGGAGATCTCCGGGCCGTGTTTATCCCCGCTGCTTGGAAAGTCTCTTCTACCCCTTGATTTCTCCTCCGGTTTCAAACATTTTATTGACGTGTTTGTGTGTGTGCTCGCATCTATTTTCACTGCGTCTGTGCATCACCTTCAAGTGATGAGCATCTCCGAGTAAGAATGATTTCAAACCCCGTTTGCGAGCCGGAAACCCTTCGACTCCCCAAGCTTACCGAGTGACGGCGGAGAAAAAAAAGCCGCAAGAGGACGGAGCCCGCGATGGCCGAGAAGTGCGACTGCATCGCCAGCATGTACGGCTACGACCTGGGCTGTCGCTTCGTTAATTTTCGCCCCTTGGGTTTCGGGGCCAACGGGTTGGTGCTGTCGGCCCTGGACAGCAAGAGCTGCCGTAAAGTGGCGGTGAAGAAGATCACCATCGGCGACGCGCGGAGCATGAAGCACGCTTTCCGGGAGATCAAAATCATCCGCCGCTTGGAGCACGACAACATCGTCAAGGTGTACGAGGTGTTGGGGCCGAAAGGGACCAACCTGCGGGGGGATTTTTTCAAGTTTAACGTGGTCTACATCGTCCAGGAGTACATGGAGACGGACCTGGCGCGGCTGCTGGAGCAGGGGAAGCTCGCCGAGGAGCACGCCAAGCTCTTCATGTACCAGCTGCTGCGGGGGTTGAAATACATCCACTCGGCCAACGTCCTCCACCGCGACCTCAAACCGGCCAATATTTTCATCAGCACGGAGGATTTGGTGCTGAAAATCGGCGATTTCGGGCTGGCCAGAATCGTGGACCAGCATTACTCACACAAGGTAGGCGATGCCGAGCGTCGGGGAGATTTTGAATGCGTGTAGGGTGAAGCAGTTGGGCTGTGGTGGATTTCTGGGGGAGAAACTGGGCCTTGAGGCGGTTCTGGCAGCTGTAAGCGCTGCTGGGGTGGTCGCTGGTGGTGGTTGCCCTCCCTGCCCCAAGCTGGGACATGTTTCCTGGGTAAAACCCATCCTCACATCCTGGGATTCTGTGATCATAGCCTTCACTTGGCAATGTGTGGTGTTCACGTGGCTTGCAGCAGGTAACCATTTAATTAGGATAATTTGGTGGGAAAAGGAGAGCTCTTCAACTCCGGGAGCACCGTGAAGTGATGGCCTTCGCCAGCTTTGAAGCAGAGCAGCTTCCCCTGCCTTTCTCCCACCATTTCACCAGTGTTTGCTGCTCAGATCGTGTGGTAAGAGCAGCACGGGAGCGTCGAGATGGATTTCAGGCTGCCAAGGTCACAGCCAGGTCTGGGTCTGCACCTTCACAGCCTGCTTAGACAGCTTGAATTTCAGCCCTGTCTCAGATGAACACGCCTCGAAGGGTGCTCACACGCTTGTAAACATCTCTTTAGGGCTCAAAATAGCCCAAATTTGGGAGGGAAGAAGGTGTAAAAGTGAGATGCTCGCTTCCTCTGAGCACCCTCAGCTCGTGGTGGGCAGGAAGGGTTGGCAGATCAGGGAGCAGGCAAAACCAAGCTTTAAAAATTTGGATAAATACCGAGGAATATGTAGACTTAATTTAAAAATAATGAGTGTTTCTGAGGACAGGATCAGCCCTGGCCGTGCATTTGGTGTTGGTCAGGGAGGAGCCATTGGGTTGAGTGGTCCCATCGGGAGAAGACGACAGAAATACCTGAAATATGGGGACACAGAGACTTGCTGAGCCTCTTTATTTGGTGACAAGACAGTGAGAGGGTGACCCTCTCTTTTTTTACCTCTTAGCAGCATTAATTACAACATTGATTTGCCCAAATCCTACGCTAAGGAAGGTGCAGCAGCCCTTTTATTATGGTAAAATAGCTCACGGTAAATAGTTGCCAGAACATCTTCAAACCTTTGAAGTCCTCCCTTGGTTTTGTGTTTGCTGTGTTTCCAGCTTCCAGGAAAAGAATACGATTCCCAGGTGGGTCATCGTGAGGAGATCTTCAAAGGAGATGAGGAGACCACCAGTTTTATTACTTTATTATGGAGCGATGTTCCTACACACCCGGTGTCTTTCCCAGCCTCTCCTACAACTGCCCTACCTGCTTTTTAAATTAAAAAAATAAGCTTAAAAAGCCCGCTGTGAAGAGGCACCGGCCTGCTGCTGCTCCGGGATTACCCCAAAAACTCGGGGTTGTTGCTGTTTTGAGTCCCCAAACTTGGCACCAGGGGCTGCGTCCTGCTGGATTTCCAGTTTGCGGACACCTGCTCTGCACTCCTGTAGCTTTTTGGGTGCAGGAAGATCACAGAATCA